GGGTTGCAAGCAGCCGCTGGAGCAGGGCAGGCACAGGCAGCAGCAGCAGGGGAGAGCAGAGATCCAAGGGGCAGCCTGTGGATAGACCTCAGTCTAAGCCCAGCAGCGGGAGGGATGGCCACTGTAGCCATGTCTGCATTTCCCACTAATGGGCCTCCATTCTGATCCCCTGGAGAGGCAAAGGGGAGGAGGCTACTGGCCCTGTCTGTGTTTCCGAGAGTGCTGTTTTCTGTCTGTGATGCTCTGTGTGTGTGTTTATGTATGTACTGTGTACACATTTCATGTGTGTGCGTGCACATGCTTACTGGGAATACATGCTTAGACTTACTACAGGTTGGACCTGGGACATGGAGCTGATGCAGCTGTGCTTCTTGAGCTGTTGGCAGTAGGTACAGATTTGTTGCCAGATTTGGCGACAGGTACATTTTCTGCTGGTTGGTGCAAAGAAGAGCAAATTCACAGATGGGAAGAAGCTGTGCAATAATTTAGCCTGCCATCCTTCATAATGAAGTCCACAGTACTGCTCTGGATTAGTTCTTACATCATGAGTGCTCTTTCTCGTACTGCCTTTCCAACTAAGGGAACCAAAACAGCCTGAGAATGCCATCTAGCCTGACCGCGAGACAAGAAACCAGTGGGAGCTGCATCTGTATGTACAGCTCATGTTATCTGTTCCACTTGATATTGAATTTACTGAATTGTGACTTGACTCTGGCTGAAATTTTTGTTTCGGACATTTCAGTACTTACCTCCCTTCCTACTGCTTTGATCACTTCCCCAACAATGCTGAGGATTTTCAATAGCTCCACATGAAAAATGCAGAAATTTCTTCTAAACACATTCTAACACAAGTATTACTTGTCCGTTAAAATGGTCTTCACTGGAGACAAGGCAGTTTAAATGGAAAGGATAATTTCTGACCTTTATGGCTGTTGGTTTGTCAGTGTTTTAGAAAGATTATTCCCAAACTTCTGTTTCAGGGCATATCAAAGTCCCCTTCAGATCTGTATTTTTACCTCTCAGTCTTTCCCAGGCTGCACAGAACACTGGAATCCTGAACTGAACAGAATTCATGTCACACGGAAAGCAGGATGCTGATCTTTAGTAGCTGATCCCTAAAGAGCATTTCTAGTCCTCCTAAATTAAGCAAGTTTTTAATTATGTGTGCATGAACCTGGTTCTGTCCACTCATCTATGTTATATGTTCTGCAGTCTCCTTAGTGAGTCTGGTTTCAAAATGCTTTTGTGGATTGGTAGACACTTTTTCACAGAGATGCTCCTGAAGGCTTTGAATTCAAGTGGCCCGTTAAGAAGAGCTTTTTTTGAATCCTTGTTTAAACTGGGTTTCTAGTAGCCATTTCCAGACAGATGGAAGCTGCTTAATATCCCCCAAGTGAACAGCTGCTTCAATGAGAGAACAGCTGCCATCCTGCAGTATCAGATTCAAGATACTGTGTCACAGAACATATCATTTGCTTAAAGCAGGATTGGATGTTCTCACTGAGAGATGGTATAGTTCAAATATGGTAAAAGTTGAGTGCTGGAAAACAGAAGTAGTTGTGAATCTTTCCTGCCTTATAAATTACCAACCTCAGCTACTTGCCTTGAATTCTGCAAGTTGGTGAAGCAGTGAACACTTACTAAGAACCCAACAGAGGCATAGACTCAAAAGACTCTGATCCCACCCAAGCCAGATAGAAGATCCCAGCAGTGTATCTGTTTTAAAAGAATGACAGTTGATACAACCATAGTCTAGCTGTCATTAATCCATCAATTTCCCCGATTCCTGTCTGGTAACTAAAGAGATGAATTGCTTTATGGCAGTTGTTAATAAAAAGTGTCTTATCCTGGATTGAAACTACAGCAGCAAAAAAGTCATCTAAAGAAAATAATTCTCTGTAATCACATAGTTTATTAAGTAACATCCCTGGCATACCTTTGCCACCGTATGTTGATCCTCTTGCTTTAAACCACCTCCAGGCTGATTGAAGACTAGTCTAGAGCATAAACTGAAACAGCTTCTTAGCACAGTCTTGAGCACCTACATATGATGAAATCTAGACTGATAAATACATATTCCTTTGGGATTCTGATGTTTTTCTTTCCTTTTCTGCACATTTGCGCTGGTCTACAATATGACCATTTTCTTCTTTTCCATAGCAAACACAAATTCATTCTCAGAGAAGCACAGAATGTGAATAGGAAAAAAAAAAAAACTTTTTTAGTAAAGTTAAACACTTATTTACTAAAGCTTTGGTATTGATCAAGTAGAAGCAGCGAAAAAGTATGCTCTAGGTACGAAGTTATACTATTTAGAGGGTTTCCAAGCACTTCTATTATTTCTTTCTGAGAATACAGAGTTGCTGCCAAAGCCGTTATCCAGCAGAAAGAAAATATTTATAAGCAACTGTGAATACAAGTACCAGAACAGAGTGCTGCAAAGTGATTGAAGTGAATGTTCATTAATGAGAACAAATATATTAACACCATCTCATTAAAGTGGATAAATTGGGGCTAGAAAAAAAAGTTGTATGGCTTATGCCATAATTAATAATTATTTATGAATAACTTCTTGAAAATATTTGTGTTAAATATTAATTTTAAACATTTTGAAGGCAGGTTTTTTAAAAAGAACATATTGACAGCAAACTGAGGAGTTTCATACAGATCAATGTAAGAAATTGCTTCTAAAATACAGAGAAATAAATAAGAGTCTCAAATCCTCTTGTCAATGGAAAATTATTAAAAAGATTTATTTATTTATTCTTCATAGCATGGTTATATGAACTGTCTCACCTTGCTTTAATGCTGCGTTGCACAAAACATAAATCACATTTTTATCCACAAGAGGTTTAAAAGTCCTGTATTGTAGTTTCTCTGCTATGTGAAATTTCAGACTCTTGGTTCCATGCCTAATTTTACATACATGATTAGGATTGCCAAAGCAGACATTAAACACACTTAATCTCACTTTTAAGTGATCTAAAGAGCAAGAGTTCTGTTATCAATGTCTTAACACTGCAAGCCATTGAATATTATTTTACGTATGTGATATTTTTTCTTGCTATTTGGAAGTTCCAAGCTTCACCTTTTTGTCCAGATATTCATTACCAGCTAACGATATCTCACCGCGAAGAATGAGACAACGCTGCAGATGACAGTGTAGATTATTCTTTGTATATACTAGGCATTGCGGGTCAGCCTCCGAGACAGCTATTGATGAAAGCCTGCTTTTTCCCTTTGCTCTCTGCTTCCTGAGGACGCGGTGTACCAGAGGATGGAGCTAGTACATGGCACTGCTGACAGCAAGGTCTGTTGCCAAGTGTTTGTAATGGGCTGGATGTCAATAAGCGAAGAAAAGTGCGTGGTCAGAGAATTCCTGAGGTGTGGAAGCAGCACCCAGAGGAAGGGTAGCAGGGGCAGGAGGAGCCAGAGCACGTGTGATAGAAAGGGAAATGTGCCTGTTTCCCTAAAGTCACCCACACTCCTCCATCTACGTATTTGCTTTCATGCCCTTTTACTAATTTATTTACTTTGCAATTACCAATTAATCCATCTGTGATTAAATGGATTGTTACCACATGCTCAGCTTTTTGCAAGCCCTTCAGATTTTCTTCTGTTTCAGAAAGCAAAATTTCTCCCTTCCTGATGAGTTAATTGTGAGTTCCCCTATAGAAGGTGGATTATTTTGGTGCATGTCTCAGAAAAAATTTACAGAAGAGCTCTGTAAAATGAAAACTGAGATACAGAACATGGAAATGTTTGTATTCCCACGACAACACTACTGTGGCAATGCAGAACAGTCAATATAGATTAATCAAACCACTGCATTTCATTAGATAAAGTATTTATTTGTATTGTAAAAAAAAATTTTGAAAATGAATGAACAATTTATTTTTATCTATTCTTAATAAAATAATACCTTTTATGTTAGCATAGGGTAGAGACAAGTAAAAAAAAAAAATTAAACATAAGTGTGTATTTGAAGTGTCATAGATGTCATTCTAGAAGTATTTCCTAACCAAAGCACAGCCCTAAGAATAATCAGTCACACAATCATGGCTTTTTTCTGAGTAAGGAGTACAGACTCAGGATCAAGGCCTTCTTCAGAGTCCCATATAAAAAAATGCATCAAAAACCAGCTAGATCAAATGCATCCATCCTTCTAAACAAGCAGTAGTCTGGGAAGTAAGATGGGGTAAGGGATGGAATTCCTGGTTTCTTTAATGAAG